AACATTAACTCTAAATAGAAATTGACTTGGCATTGCATAACTTTAAGGGAGACTTATTTCTCAACTCATAACCTCATTAAAATTCTCTTGCATTCTTTTTAAGCTTGTCCTGCTCTAGGTGATTGGATTGGGTATCATTCATTACAACCTACAATCCAATAACACATAAGCAATATATATATATATATATATATGTATTCTTTAACATAGACAAAGCTTGAAAAATCATAAACTTGTCTTCATGGTCTCTGCCAAGTACTTGTTCCTTAGGCCTCTTAAAGCTCTCATAGGACTCATAAATTAATTTACATGCATCACATAACTTTTAGAGCCATGAAAAGATAAACTTTAAACTCAAGTTAATGCTAGCACATGTTATGTAATAATCTCATATACTTGGTGAACATACCTACACAACTTCCTTAGGCTTCTAGGATACCATTCATGAAACTACATAACTTAATTTTACTATAAAAACTTCATGACTCGGTGTCCTCGAATCATTGGCCTAAAAGGGAATTTCATCTTGACTTCTTCAGCCCATCAATACTAACTTTAGTTGGCTGCAAGTGCCCTTAAAATTCAAGCTTAGTCTAGGCCCAATCATGGAATATAAGGCCCATTAACTTTGGACTTGTAAATTTTTATGTTTCTGCCCAATTAATTTATATTCTAGAATTATACATTAATTTGAAAAATCAAAACTAATTCTAAAAAAATCATTTGGGCATGCTCTGGGTTTGGAATTAAACTTTGAGAAGTCCTCTTCAATGAAAAAATAATTTCCAAGAGACCCTATGCAACATAAACAACTCATTAACTTTTAAAATTCATAACTAATTCTGTATATCTTTGATTTGGGCTAAACGAGACGCTTTTTAAAGCTTAAGATGTCCTATATTAATGTCCCAAATATGGTTTTTGATTAAAAATACAAATTTCAAAACCACTATATAATAAGGCAAACTTGAATTTAGACAGTAATGAACTTGTGTTTAAATCTCATAGATTAACTTAGGATTTGAATCTCATCAATGTTCTTAGAGACTTCTAGCCTTAGATGCACACATGAATCAACATTAACCAGTACTTCCCAAGGTCCCAAAAATTCAATAAAGTCTAGAAAACAAACTGAAAATTCAAATAGCATAACACCCAAGACAAAAACCACACGCGAGCTTTTAATCTTATAGTTTCCATCAAGATTCTTAACATCCAATGCCATATGCATCTTAAATGCATTTTTTTTTACCATTTCCAGCACCCAAGCCCATGCCTAAGATGGTGGAGAAAGAGATCAAGTTAGCAAAACTCACATGCAACTCAAAAACCAAGAGAAAGGGGAAGAAAACTTGAACAAATCATGATTTACCTTTGAGAATTGACTTAGAGCTTTAAGATCTCCCTCTTTCTTTTCTCCTTCTCTCTAAAATCCCCCCTTCTCTCTAAGGATGCTACATGAAATTGCAGAATGAAGAAGGAAATAAGAAGTGGTCTTCACTTTTAAAAAACAAGACTTCCTTCATAAGACTGATCAATGGCATGCTTGGTAATTTTGGCTTGCATGGTGTCTTTCTTTAATCATTTTTTCCACTTGCTTTAAATTAATTCAAATATGAATTTTGAATCATCTTTTCTCCTTTAATGACAAGTGGTATAATCTTGTGTTAGATTTGAGGCTCGCTGACTTCCTGGCACACTTTTCAACTATAGGTTGACTGTCATCTTTTACTAGATTTATTAGAAATCTTGCTCACTATATGCATGTTTTTGCACTTACTTTCATAAAATTTGACCCGAATAACTTTTCTTGGACATTTCACTTAGGATGAATCTTGCCTCCTTTTGCGTGCCAAAACACTATACTCATTTAAGTCCCTATTAGAACATTTAGTCACCTTATAAAATGTGTCTTTAACTTATATGCATTCAAATAATATTTATTCTTCCTTACTCGTGTACACAAATACTTATCTCTTTGTACTATAAAACGTGCATTAAATTCTCTTTTCTCTTTTTCTCATTAATTTCTTGCCTCATAAAGCATGTACTCTAATTTTTCTCATCTTTATGAGTATCGGAAGCTTCTTATGAAGAGTGCAATCTCCTACAACTTACTTTGTGGTGTACACTAATATACTCAGGCACCTTTGTGCTTTACTTTGATGCATTAAATGCAGGATGTTACACTAGATGAGCGTGTCCTTGAAAGGGTAAGTTGAATCAAACAATCAAGCGAGTTTCCAAGGTCTTGTGCCATAATTTTCTTGGAGAGTCAAGTTCACGCAAGAAAAATAAAGAGGGAGGATCGTGTGAGGTGTGAAGCTTGATTATATTATTGGTGAACGAATATAACAACGTGCTCTGTGGAGATGAGATGGGGAAAACAAGTACAAACTAGCCTGAGAGGCTAGGCTTGCATAGAAGAAGCAGTTCATGTTGGGTTAAGTTGGTTGACATAGGGTTAAGATTGGTGTTTTGTGCCGGACAAGTCTTGTGTAAGTTTGGCGAAGTGTCGAGAGTCATTTAGTCGTGCACTCATTGCCTATTTATAGAAAAATGAAAATAACATGCTCCTTTTGAATTCAAGTTTGTAACCATCAAAAGCAATTAATTGTCCATGCCATTTTGTGGCCAGAGGTGCACCCTATCATGCAAAGTAGAGAGAGTGAGTGCACCAAAATAATCAAGAAGTGGGAGAAGTGGGTAAGACCACGTGACCTCCTGCCTAAACGTGGTGTTGTGCTTGTTTGAAGTTCGTTCGCCGTTGGGCTACTTCTTCCAGCGGATTGGATTGGGCCTTGCCCATTTTCTTTTGGGCCCAATACACCATTTTTAGTCCAAACACTAAAATGAAAAATATATTAAATTAATTATAAATAGTTCAATCATTGATCCTTAAACTAATATCTTATTTGCTTCAATGACTAGTCTAATTTTTAAAACTTCATTGATAGTTGTTAATTATTACTGCTTAGTTGTCAAATGAAAAACTCCAGTAGCAATTATTTAGTAGTAATTGACAGTTTCAGCATACAAGTTTGATCACTTTAGTTTTTTTTTTTAAAATGAAACTTCATAGCAATTTTGCAATTCCATAAAACTTTTACATTTAGATTGCCTGTGTGGAACCTGAGTATAATGTAGCCTTTAATATAAGCAATTTGATCCATTTATATGATCGATCATTTGCACCCAATGATCACCGTGTCTAATAATACAAATGTACTCATACAGCAAGCCGAATAAGACCCACTTGTTTTTTGTGACTATGCACAACTCAATCAAATAAATACAGGCTGAACAATGACCGAATCTGAAAATAAATCGTGAAATGTAAAATTTTTTTTACTTTTTAGATTGGAAAAATTTCAGTCTACACTCTTTGACAAAATATAATAAAAAAAAGAACCCCTTAAAATATGAAATTTTACTGCAGATCAAGGGTAGTGAAATTAAATTAAAATGCAAACTAAAATTATCTTATTATTTCTAGTAGTTTAAGCTTGTTAAAAGATACTTGCAAATTCTCCACACTAAAGTAATTAATTTTTCTACTGAATTTATTTGTGTACATAACTTCACTATATTTTATTATTAATGTTGTTATCATGGTAAAAGGAATTACAAATTTCTCATATTGTAGTTGTTTATTGTCCGTACTAAAATTGTTATTTTTTCTACAGAAGTTGTTTGTGTGCATAACTTTACTTATTTTATTCTTAGTGTCATTATTATAATAAATAAAGTTGCAAATTCTCCATACAAAAATTGTTCATTTATCATATTAAGTGTTTAATTTTCTTACCGGAGTTGTTGGCGCGTATAGCTTTAGTTCGTTTTATTCAAACTACTATTATCATAGTAAATAAAGTTACAAATTCTTCGTACTAAAGTCATTCATCTCCTATACTAAAGTGGTTAATTTTTCTATCCAAGTTGTTTGTGCGCATGGCTTTACAAAATCAAAGGGTTAAATTTATCATTTCCCTCAACATTTTAACTTCATTTTCATTTCACTACTTTTGGTTTGGAGTGAAATTTCAAACTTTAAGGGACTGTTTGAAATTATTTTTATTTTATTGTTTAGAAAATTGATATTTTGTAAAATATGTTCTAAGGATAAAAAATAATGAAAATAGGTATTTTCTCATTCTTCTTTATTCTCTAGAACAATAATTTCAGAACACCTAAATGTTATTTCCATTTTTCTATTCTCCAAAACAATTTTTTTTTTGTTCTCTAAAACCCTTTTGAAAATATGTTACCAAGTAAATTTTTTTATTCTTTTATTTTGGAGAACAAAAAATTGTTCTCAAAACAAATTGTCAAATAGGCCCTAAAGAGCTCTCTTTTTAATTATATTTAGTCAAGGGATCTAGATTAAAATTTTCCCTTTTAGATTAATCATAAATGAATTGTACCAATAAGATCACGAACAAATAAATAAAACAACGTATATCTTCATTGACTCTCGAATCCTTCACGGCGATCTCATTATCAATGGTTTCGACCCAACTAAAATGAGTACCATTTGGACAGCTATGGGTCTTAAAAGTATAAAGGATGGTTCTTCCGAGTGTAAGGATGTGATTACAGATAGTCAAGCTAGTCAAGCTAACTAAATTGCGAGATTTAACTCCAATATTAGCCAATTTTCTCTTGCTATCACTGAAATTATTGGACTTGTACAGGGTTTTGTTTTTATCATAATCTAAGGCTTCAAAGAAATAACATTTTCATTGATTGCGCTTAGAACATCAACTTGATCACTAGAGCTGATGTGAACCAAACATCTCTTCAGAGAAATTATCAGCATGCAGGGGACTGCCTGAATGACATTAGTCTTGTGTCACTGAATTTTATACATCGAGAGGCTCAATTTGTGTGCCTGAAATCTTGCTAAGTATGCAATTGATATTGTAACTTTTGTGCTTTTAATCAACTCCCACTTTTTTGCAGGGAGGTGGTGGATAATGAAAAGAATCAAACTACATATGTGATCTAAATATTTGGCTCCTTTAATGGAATATAGTATCATTTCCAAAATTTAAAAAATCAGGGGACAAAAACTGCCACATTGTTAATTAAAGATAAATAACACTCAAGGCTCAAGCTTTGAAGTTTTCACGTAGTTGAACACTAGAAATGTTTGGAACAATTCAATCACGAAGAACCGATAGCTTCGGCAGCCTTCTTCTCTCTTTGTCGCTCCCTCTTTTTCTTGTTTCGCAATGCATTCTTGCTCATGCTACTTGATCTGCATTAATCAACAATTAGCATTTAGTAACACTAAATAAATCACAAGTAGCAAAGACCGTGAACTAGAAAGGGAAATTTTGGCCGGCACGTTGGTCCTCATGGTCGATCATAGAACCATAAATTCATCAGGTGCCATGGTCGAAGAGGGGAGAGGGGCAGAAGAAAGCGAGAGTTGCAAAGAAAGGGATATATTGCTTACTCTGTGGGGTCCATTCCTAACAACTGCAAATACAAAATTTTGACACCATTAGATACAATAGGTAAATCATCTTGAAACGCATCATAACTATGTTTAGCTTCTTAGCATAAATTCCATGTACCTCTGCCTGAATAGCAGCTGCCTTCTTAGCATGTGGAGGGCAGTATGCAGCTTTGGTTACTGTTGGTCCTTGACCTGAAATTAGTCCATAGTACTCTATCAAGGGAAAAAAGACAGCCTACAATAAAACATGATAAAATAAACACGGCATAAACCTGGTCGTTTGCTATCTTCAATTTTTACTGTGCCCAGAGATTTAATTAATTCAGTAATGTCACCAAACTTATTGGGTGACTCTGGTTTCCAGTCAGCCTGCAAATAGTTGGAATGTGATTCAATGATATTTCCAGATAGGTGGTGATAACTAAGAAGGATTGAGGCATCACTAACCTGGAACAACTTGTCAAACTTCTTCTCGAAGTACAATGACCCATCATGGTTGAAAATCTTGATCCTTTAATTGAAGGGAGAAAATGAAAAAATTAGAAGGGTAAAAAAAAATATGCACATTGGTGAATGAGATTAATCCTACTGGAAACAAGGATGTCAAAATCAGCAAAAATATTTACCCATAACATCATTGGAGTTGATCAGTTACCAAATAAATTTTGCTTGAGTTAAAAGGGCAATTGAGATTACATCAAAGTGTAATACAGAGGTGGCATGTCTGAATGGTCTAAAACCAATAGCAATACAATTTAGCGACTATGGGTAGACAATTGCTTATCTTCTAGCAAAGAGACGGACCAAGATTACACTAATGGCCAAATACAACATACCCATTATCAACTTGAAGCCTTGGAGCAGTTGTGGCGGTCATGAAATAGCATCCATCAGGAGACCATTCACTAGTCACAGACCATTCAGCCTTTGTTTTTCGAATCTTTTTTGCCTCTACATAATCCCAGAATTCCTAAAAGTAAACAAGAAACAAATATGAACTTCATAAAAGATACACCTGTTTGCTTGGTGTATTTCTTTTTCTGTCTCATGAAAGTACAGCAGTTGGTTCAGGAAACAAAAGTCTTTGTCAAGACATGGCAACATGGAGGCTTCCATATAAGATCTCCTACAACTACTCTCACCACTAGACGACCTAGAAACATGTTTTCAAACTTCAGAATCATTATTGACTTTCAATCTTGTAAAAATTTGTCGAATAAAAATCATGCTTGCATTCACTTGAACAAGATTGTGTTAGGAGATATGCAATCAATAGTCAATACAAGAACCAACAGCAGCTAAGGCCCCACAGCCTAGGAACAAAGGAGTACATTTAGCAACAAAATTAACATCTTTAATATTAAAATTATGAAAGGTATGTTCTTTATCGTCCTCCATGAGAAATGTACAGGGGAAAGGGCAAATGCCAAAAGCACAACAACAATAACAAGTCTTATCTCACTAAGTAAAATTGGCTACGTGAATTGCATGGCACCATTGTTTTCTTTCATGAACCAATCTTTTAGAAATATTATTAAGTAAAAAGTCTCGTTCAACAACTTCCATAAAAGACTTTTTTTTTTCTGGCCTTCTATTCTTCTTACGTACTAATTTTCCTTATATTTCCTTTATGATTTTCCCCCAAATACAAGCGACCATATTCTCCGTACAATTTTTACTTTGGGGTGCTTCTGCCCAGGCAGAATATAAGAAAAATTAGTATGTAAAGAGAATAGAAGACTGGAAAAAAATCCTCATTTTCACCTGGTTAAGACATGGAATAGTTCAACTACTTTAGCATCATAAACTGCATTTAAGTTATGTCATTTCTAATGACATCATTCAGACAAAAGACGAAAACACGTCCAACATACATGACATCTAAAAGCAAGAGTAGATCTTCATTTAATCTTTGCGCAAGGAGAGTCACTAGTCATAAGGCATCAATCTCTTTTATCAGAGGAAAAATCAAAATAAAGCATAATGGTCCATTATAGCATACCATATCACCCGGTAGGTTACCAAACCCAGCCAAAACTAAGACTGAAAAACCAGTTGTCAAGGGCCAAAAAGTCATAGAATAGTTTGCTTTTACCCAAATATGGATGTATTTTTTAAAAAAAAACAATGGACATAAAAACAAAGGCACTTCATCAGCCAAGGATACACTTTCCTTTTGGGTTCCATCGAATTGTATTGTAAGGACCACTGCCAAGCTCATGTATGGGTCTTCCCTTCTTGTTAAACACAGTTGCAGAAGCAGGTATAACTAAAATAGGTCAAGGAAAAGAAAGAAATTCAAGGGACGCGAAAAAAATTTAAAACATGATATAGATCAAAATACATCTCTGCAAAAGACGTGAGTTACTATAAAAATGCTTGGTTAAACGTGCATCCAAAACCATGTAGGAAATATCTACTCCATTATGGCGAGTATGAAAGGTCATATAGAATGCTTGGTAGTTGGTTCATTCTATGAAGAACGAACAAAAGAGAAAGGGGGAAAATGGATCTAGTGTCTTTTCACAGCATTTCTTACATGATTCCAAAAGCATCAATAGGGATTGGTTTAACCAAAATATGCCCATGACTTTAACAGGAGTACTGATTTAAAGTAAGTCAAAACCAGCCCTAAAATTTGAAGCTATGGAATCATTCCACAGTACATACTTTGCATCTCAAACCATATATACTGCAGAGAAGGATACAACCATATAAAACACCAAATTCCAAGCCAGAACATGACCACTGGGCATCATGAACAGGTCCCTCTTTACCTGACAAATATACAAAATAATCATTTTGTTATTGATTATATAACCAAATAATTAAGCTCTTCTTTCACTAATGCAAAGAACATACGAAGAGCCACAACTGTTTCTTGAGTCCCATCTGTTGTCAGGTAGCATAACTTTGATTCTCCAAAGTAACTCTGGTTGGTTTTATCAACATCTGATTGCACCACCACTAGAAGTCCAGAAGATCCATGATTCCAATTAAACTGGACAGTTGAGCATCGAAAAAAATTTCGTCGGGCAATAGGTTGACTTTGAGAATCTTTTTCACAAGAAAATATCTGTACACTAGCAGGAACCCCCTACACAATAGAAAACTTCACATTAAATGTATCACAAATAAAAACTTGGACAGCATTATCTTTGATAACTTTTATATCAAGGTGCTTGCCAGTCACCATACAAGCTGAAGTTAAACAACTTATCCTCAACCTTGACTAATAAGGGAGTCCAAAAAGACTTTCCAACCACAGAAGATTGCAAATGTTAAACCTTCCTATCAAATTTCCTATTATGTGATACGCATTTAAGAAACCTGATTTCATATAATTAAGTCATCAGCTATAGAGAGGCTACCAATTCAGTTTAACAGGCCTAGGAAACTCCATTTATAAAATAACTCCATTACACATGTTATATTAAATTTTGATTCACTTGTTAATAAATTATTGGAGCATGTCCAACCAGTTCTAGTTGGTTCAACTATGCATGAGAAAGACACAAGGCATCAGCCATATCAATTAAATATCCGAATCCCTACAATTATTGTATGAAATAATTATCAATAATGCATAACTTTCCAATCCTTATTCATACATTCTTCCAAGAATGCAAGATGAATTTCAAAGTTGGGTAAATTTTCAATTTTTGTGTACTAATCGTTCATAGAATACTAATGTCAGGTAAACCTCAACTATAAAGATAGAATCGCAGGGGTGCAAACCTTGGATTCTGGAACTAATACAGCTACATGAGATCCAGGGGTCCTAGAAAGCTCAATTGCAGCAACTCCTGGAACTTTCAATCGATAGATAATTCCTTTAGAGAAATCACCCGTGTCAAAAAATTGAACCTCATTAGTTGCCATCCGGCATGCAACAGTTTCATCAGAGCTAAATTGGATCGAGGGCCTGAAGCATAGCCAAGGTTGTAATTATAGCATAAGCCATTGTGAGAGTGTGATCCATGCATCAGGAAAGCATAAGTATAAAATGCAAAGTCATGACAAGTTCTCGAATCACTTTGTCCTCCAAAAAGGCAAAATATTCTAAAATATATATCTTGAGCATAGGATGAAAGACTACATTTTTGTTCTCACAATTTATGATCACATACCATGTGGTTTTAGTCATGTTCTTTTGGGAGTGTTGGTAAACAGGATCCCCAGTCTCAGTCTTCCATAAAGTCACATTCTTGTCTTGGGGAGCCAAGGGCCTTTGAAAGGTTAGCAAGTAAGTACCACAAGGAGACAAGATGGCAGCAGCAACATAATGTATCTCAAAAGATCTAATCTCTTGAAAGTTTGCACAATCATATACAGTAATAACAGAGTTAGATTTCATGACTAAGAGTCTGGACCCATTATCACAGAATTTTGCATTCAAACAAGAGCCTTTGTCAAGCTTGACACCAGGTTGAGCATTGGGGAAGGGGAGTCCGCTCCAGATTGAGAAGTTATCGGGTGTCCGAACTGAGAGAGATTTAAAAGAAAGATGAGGGAAATGAAAATAACAATATAGGCAGGAAATCATAAAGCAATAAGTTGACAGCAATACCTAATATCTCCAAAGACGGTGGAGGATCCTTGGATGCCATTGTAAGTAAGGAGAAACAAGTCTCTTGAGAAAGCTAGCTATGTGGAGTTGTGGGTTGTGGCAAAACTGAATGACAATCTTAAATCAGTTGTAATTTCTCATCCGAAAGGTATGAAATGAACAAGACAAGAACAAGTACTTGTTCTTGCTAACTGGCTCAATTTTGTTCCACTTCTACTTCTTTATCGGTGTAGTGTAATTATGATTGAAGAGCAGAGAAAGATAAGCTCAATTTCCACTTCGATTGAAAATCTATAAGTTTAGTCAATATTCTTTACAATTAATCAAGTTCGACGGCACGTGTAGACAGTAATAAATTCAACTCCTCTGCTGGTGCACATCCAAAAACCAGGCCTGTGAAAGCTTAATAGGAAAACGGTTCCTTATCACTAGAAATATACATACCATGAATATCATAAAAAAACTAGGATAATCATAAACACAACTTCTACATTCCAATTTACATGACCAGGCAATCAACTCAGTGAACTTGGCCACTAATTCTCCAAAATGAAAATTATAACACCATGTTCACCAAAAAGAACAAACTTTATCAGCCCCAAAAAGACAAACCTCTCATATAGACAAAATGAAACACAACTGATACTAGTAACATGCTTAAATACCAGCAAAAGTTCACAATTTTAGAAGCGCCGCCGAGAACCATAAGTAAAATTTGATGGCCATGTCTGAAAAGTTGTTTCTTTATTCAAAACTAGATCTAGTTCTCATCCATTATCTAAATCCATGACTGAGACGTCCCAGAGGAACTCCTCAAGCACACTTGCGAAACACTACCAGTAGCAGGTTTATAATAGAGTATGAATGGAGACCGAGAAGGACCAACCTGAGCACGACCAGGAAGACTGGACAATGAAGATGAGAAGGAGCACGAGCGGCAAGTCTGAAGGATAACTGAGCGAGAGCACGACTTCACGAGCTGAGGTGGGGTGCCGCGGAGAAGGTCTGAGCTCGATTGATCGAAGACAGAGGGGAGCACGACTTCACGAGCACAGCACCGAGGGTCGACTGATCGAAGATTGAAGGAGAAGGTCTGAGACGGGGGCGCCGCGGTGAGTGGGGCCTGAGGCAAGGCTTGAGTGGATTACTTGATTTGATGGAATTACCATGTTTGGTTGGGGTGGAAAAATAAGGATAAAGATACAAATTTAATCACATATAAAGAGCATCTATAGTTTAAATATGAGATGGCATAAAATAAATTATAAATTTTTAAAAATAAAATATCAATAGTCCACCATTAACTTTTAACTATCAGACGTTATATGAATCCCACAATGACATGTGACATGACACGTCTACTCGATAAAAATGTAAATTTAGTCACAAACTATTTTTTAAGGAAAATTGGTAGCCTCTACTATAAAAAAAATCATCCAACACATTTCTCTCAATTTTGACCAAACACTATTTATTTTCATACTTGTGAGACCCACAAATCATTAGTCTCTTTAATCTTCTTACATTCGTTCTCAATCTCGTTCGAAAAGAAGAGGTTCAAAAAGTTTTTATTTAAAAACATTCACAAAAACAACGCTAACAAAATAGAAGAAATAAGCCATGGTTAACTTAAGCTAGAATAAAGCTTCTCTCATGTATAGTAAAATTAAACTTCTACTTCATTGGCATTATCCTTGTAGATGTTTTCAAATAAGAATTCATTGAACCTCTTTTTCTAAAGCTAATATTGAAAAGGAAGGCAAGAAGATTGAGAGATTAATACTTTGTGGGCCGTATAAGTATAAAAATAAACGGTGTTTGGTCAAAATTGAGAGGAAGGTGTTGGATGGTCCATTTTTTTATAGTAAAGGCTACTGAGTGCTCCTCGAAAAATAGTTCGTAGCTAAATTTGCACCTTTACCATGCTGACGTGTCATACCCATGTCGTGCCACATGTCATTGTAGGCCCCACATAACGTCCATTAGCTAAAGTTAACGTCGTTCTATTAATGCTCCATTTTTGAAAGTTCGTGATTTATTTTACACCATCTAATAGTTTAGGCTACTAGATGTTACTTGAAAAATAGTATATGCTTAAATTTGCTACTTTACCCAATAATAAATCTTTGTAGGAACCCAAGATTAAATTTTTTATACCACCTCCTCGAATCCCGTCTAAGTAGGTTTAATCAATCATCCATTATACCAAACATTGTATTAGTGGGCTAATTCAGTTCCAATCTCAACTCCAACATTCTAATACCACCTACCAAACAAACTTGCCTCGAATGTGAATAACATAATTCCACTTTAAGTAAATAAAACTTTTAAGAAACTTTATAGAGCTAGTTTTTAAATAATATTTAAGAGAAAATATTTCCAAATCTTGTGAGATATAAATAATTAAAAACAAGATTAAAAAAGTTACATCTCACTTTTTATTTTAAAACAAAAATGAATACTATGATTTAAATTAAATGTTGTTTGGACTAAAATTGAAACGCATTTATCATGACTATAGCAGAAAATGGGCCAACTAATTGAAGAGTCAGGTCCAGTAAGCAATCTACCAATAAGGCCAGTCTAGATCATTATTGAGTAAATTAACCAAGTCAATTTGGGTTTACGAATCCCTTAAGGCTCGAAATCATTATCTATATTATTGTCTCACAATAAATCATGACCTCAACAAGCCTCGAATCTCGCAAGGTAATGGCCATCACCTACAGATATTTTGGGGACACTAGCTGGTAGCCAAACAATAGCCTATACACTTTGCAAAGAGAAAGATTATGCCACGAATTTCAAGGGCTGTGCCTACTAAATCCTTGATACTTCGCAAATGAGCTACAGGTTTCATAGGGATAACCATCTCAGTTGAGCCAGTATAAAAGAAGGAGAAGGTCACAAAAAGAAGAACTAAACAATCAATCACCGAAGCCTATTATATTTTTAACTTTTCATTCAATTTTTAGCGTATTCTTTTGCCTTGTAATCTATATGACTTTGTACCATGTATACTTTATCAATCAAAATACTTATTATTCCAATTTCTTTGTTTCTTTACATCCAGGTAAACTATAGTAAGGGAACTCAAGAACCCTTTGTTATCATTTGAGACTTAATATATCTAGCATGCCTAGTTATTTTGTTGTTTATAGAAAATAAATGCATATAATTTTTTTTTTCAAATCTTATATAGTATAGAACAAGAGCAAAAACAAAGTACTTATTCCATAGTGATAGTTAATAGCTATATATATATATGAAAGCAAATAACGGCAAATGTTAACTATTCTATGTTCTCAAACATATTAATTATATTAATACAATTATATTTGTCATCATTAAAATTTAAATAAAACATAATGTCATAAGCCATTATGTCTAATACTTAAAAAGTAGAACTCTGGTTACAAATCATACAATATGAATTGAAGTAGCAAATTTAAGAGTAGTAGTAATCCTTGAGATTGACCAAGCTATTTCAAGCTAAAATTTCTATGCTAAACTTCTTATTCCAAATTAAAAATAAGAACTCTACTTGCAAATTAATGAACTTTAAATTGAAAATTCAAGCATAATCTGAAAAATATGAAGTCGCAAATTCTTTTGCTTTTGCTCTGGTATGTTGAGTCATGACCTAGATTAAATCACTATTACATACTTAGAACTTGAATTTGAAACTTCTAGTTAAGATAGATCAACTCCTAACTAGTTGATTCAAGTGGCACTGGCAGAGCCATGTTTCGGTGAAGGTGTGCAAATGCACCCACACACTTAAAGAAAAATTACAAATATGGTATATAAATTTTACAAATTTGCACCCTTACTTTTGATATTTTGCACCATTTAAATTGAATAAAAAATATTTATGATCAAAAGCTTATTAAATATATAATATTTTTAATGATTGATTTAAAATATGAAGAGTATATTTACATAAAAGACCATATTAATATATTTAATAAATTTTCTAAAATGAAAAATGATGATCAATCTATTTACATTATTATAACTTTAATCATAGTATAATTATTATTTTTAATTATTTAAATTATTATTTTTAAAAAACATTAATTTTAAAATTAAATAATTTCTTGCTCTACCACTGCCAGGTGGTACAAATCTATTTAATTTATACCATTATTTGAATGTTGCAATTGTACTTTCACTGTTAAAAACAAGATAACTATTGGTTGCAAATCCTTTAAATTGATGCCATAATTTGCAATGTTACAATTGCATTTTCAATATAACTACTTTTTTTTCTTTAATCTAAGGTGCTTTACTCATTACTAACATGTGTTAGTGCACATTTAAAGGTTGTCCAATCAAGTGATTGGGTCAAGAATAGAAGAACTGAAAAGCAAACAACAAAACACAAATGACAAGATAGCTTAGAAAGTGGAAAATGATGCGGGAAAACACAATAAGCTTCAGTATTAGAAACAAATTGAGAAAGGAAAAACCTAACAAAGTGAAGACTAACAAGCCAGAGATAAGAATATCTACAAAACCAATTAAGAGTCGTCTTTAGTATTAGAATCTAATTAGGTGCCATGTGTAAATTAGTTACACCATTTATTATGTTGTCACATATTGTACTCATTTTGTTTAGCTTAGTTATCTGACTCAGTCTTGTTTATATAAACAATGTACATCTCATTAATTGAATATCTCATTTTCTATTTTTTACTTTGTAGTTCTCTTTGAAATCTTATATAGTATCAAGGCTTTTCTCTCTGAACCATGGCCTCTTCTACATCCTCTACAACTCTTAATGATAATGGAAAGCTTGTTGTTGTTGATTCCACCAAGCCTGGTGAATTTGTAGCCTTTAGTCATTCCATCTCTTCAACGCTTGATGAGCGCATCTATCTTGTTTGGCGCAAACATATTGAATCTACTATTCAAGGTCACGGCCTCTTTCATTTTTTGGAGATTAATCGATCTCTTCCTTAGTTCAAGACTAGCGTTGACCTTGATGTCAATGTAGTTTCTACTGAGTATCTCTGTTGGTATAAGTAAGATTAGTTGTTATTTTCATGGCTTTAATCTACTATTTTAGATTTGATTCTTCCTCGTGTTATCGGTTGTATAACCTCATATGTCACTTGGAAACACCTCTCTAATTTCTTTTAGGCTCACACACGAGCAAAGATTTCTCAATACAAGAAAGAGTTATGCCATACGAAGAAAGATGATAAATCGATCTCTTAATTTGTTCTCCGATGAAAGCCCTAGCAAATGGATATGAATTTTGTGGTGTCTTTTATTAATTCATAGTGTGATCCACTTTCCTTGAGTGAAATTGAATCACTTATCATTTCTCATGAGCTTAAGCTTGCTCGATCTCTCAAATCGATTCTTAAGACCCCAAGCCTATTGCCAATGTTGCTTAGTCTTCTTTTACATCACTAAATGCTACCACTTAACAATTTTACCCCTCGTTTTAACCATTTCATAGTGGTAGTGGTGGTAGTCTTGGTCATTCTAATCAAGGCAGAGGAGGTAGTGGTCGAGGTTGTGGCTTTAATAGTCAAAACCAATCTGACTATATGTGTCAGCTTTGTACCAACCTCAATCATACTACTACTTTCTGCTATCATAGGTTTGATCAAACTTTTTACACTCCTTTACCTCAACCTCAAGCTCATTTTCATATTGTTGGTGTGTCTCTTTCTTATCCATCTTCAATCTCCTCCCATGTTCACCTCCCTATCACTTTAATCCCTATGCTTATTATTCTCCTAATTCCTTTGCTGATCCTTTTGCTTCTAATGTTTGGTTTCCTACTTTAGGTGATATACATCATGCTACACCTAATGTGAATAATCTAACGCAAGCATCTGCTGACTCTAATCCTACTCAAGTCTATGTTGGTGATGGTTTAAATTTGCCTATACGACATCAAAGTTCGACTCATTTCTCTACTTTACATCCATAAAAATCTCTTGTACTTAAAAATGTCTAACATTTTCCTTCTGTCACAAATAACTTGCTTAGTGTTCCTAAACTCACTCTTGATAATAATGTTTATTTTGAATTTCATCCTGCTTGGTGTTGTATCAAATCTGAGCAGGAACTAAATTAGGTCCTTCTAGAGGGCAGATATTGATTTATTAGTCTCTATGCTTTCTATTAGGTTCACATT